CAAGCCATATGCCTGAGTCCCTCATCAGTTAAGACGATGTTATTGTCGTTTTAAGCGTGTATGCTTACGACAACAGCAGCTGGGAGTTGGGATCATGAGTTTCAAAACGCCTGTTAGAGATTGAGAAAGCCAAGGTGAAAACAAATTAGGTTGACGACGATGAACCTCGTCGAACCGAGTAGTGTCATGAACGTGACAACTGACATTTTCATCGTCGAGCCAGACAGATACACACCAAGTGGAAAGTGCCATAGAGAGGTGGCCTAAGTCAAAACAGCAAACACATACGCAAGGAAAATCTGAAAAACATTAGCAAGACATAGTTGTTGGCGCTAGCGATCTTTGGCGACTTCTTGGAGGTTGCTGGGATGCGCCCAGCTTCAAGTAGGATTTCTTATCGAGTTTCATCTTAGCTCCCTCGGTTCAAACACCACAGAAAGTACGATACACTAAACTGGGAAGCCCCCAGTTTTCTCGTCGCCTTTTGATTCCCACTTTTGGGACTGTGGTCGTCAATCCTTCGTCACATTTTCGTTGTGGGAGGATTTGGATTTTATGAATCCATGCAGGAATGTCAGTGAGATAATAATTTTAGTGAGCCAACTTCCTTTGTTATGACGTCATGAAATAACACTACGATTTATTGCTGGACCCTCCTCTGCGAAGTTCTACGAACTGAGAGATTTATTGGAGGCTAAGGGATGTACAGCAGAACGCTGAAAGTTTGTCTCACCTCTCCAGGACCACCCTAAAGGTTGAAGACAAGATTGTGGGCAAGTTCATTGAAACCCATCTCTGGGGAAAGGCTGAAAACCGTAATGCAAACAATCTTAGGTTTTTTGGAACTCACTGAACTCGGTCCTCTTCTTCTCATAATAGGCTATTGGTGATATTTGAAATTATCCAGGTGTCTCATTCTTTTAGAAAGGAATCATCTTGGGCAGTGTCATGACAAGCACAAGAAGGCCTTGGGCAGGTTTAACAGTGGGGATGGATAGTCAACGGAAGTCCGGCTGAAATTCCATGCCCAGAAACTTGCCTCTGTCAGCTTGGGTTTGAACAGAGCAGTTTCAAAAACGTGTGGATAGAATTGAAAGGAGAATATCTGTCGTCGATCGCTCCTATGTCGGAATATGCCCAACGACTCAATCCCTATTCAGGCTATAGGAGCATTTGAATGGGCAATTTGCCCTCTTAATAACTAAAGCAGCTGGCTGATGTACAAACACATGTTTTCGTGCTATTTCCGGGCAAGTCTTTTATGAGGCAGCCGACTTCGAAGAGCCACCCGCATGGTAGCTGCACCCACTCGATTGTACCCAGGTACTTCTTTTTCAGGAACGTAGTTTACAAAGGACTTTTAAAATTTGGGACTCCGGTGGTTGTTCCCCTAAGGTTTAGCCATATCTGCAGAACTGTCTACCGATTAGGTCTCAAAAGCAAACCTATAGGTATCTGAGCGCAATATGCTCAGTTCTATAGCGCTGCTGTCTATTCCCTTCCCTCTTCAATAGGTCAATAGGTCTAAACCAGTCAACGTCCTAAGCAGTTGCTCAAAATGATCGCCCTCCAACTCCATCACTGACTAATAACAGCCACATGACTACCCCTTAGCGTCAGTTGGAATTAAATTAGGTAGCACTTTTCCGGGAATCGACACTGTAAACTTGTAGTTCTAAAAGGACTTATTTGACGGATTGTATAAAAACGAAACCTGGTAATTGGAGCTTAGCCATAAATCACTGGAAAGGGACAGGTGTTCATCAATGGAGTTTCAGCGTATAACTGATGGATAGGCTCGCCAGACAGACACATCGAGCTGATAGGTATGTTTTCCCTCTGTGCCACACAATGCCCTTAGAATATGGTGTCTGGGTCAGGATCATGTGGTCCATTACTGACATTATCATTCCTCAGAAAACAACAGCATATCATGGGGAATTTCTTGTAAACGCTTGTAAGATTTATGGGAGTTCCGTGGGATCTCGAAAACAGGAGAACGTTCCCCAAGCAGAGGCAGTCGGAAAAGCTATCGACTTTTGAACATTCTAACAGAGTCTCATACCGTAGTCAACTTATTTCGAGTACCAACTTGACCTTCGCAAATTTATGAGCCGTTGATCTTTGAAATGTTGACACTCTGTACCCCGCCTTGTACTCATGCTCCTTGTCCTGCTGTCGAATCTTCTAAAGCGCCCAAGCTCAAGGACGACAAATGAGTCTCTGGGTCAAAGCGTCAACGCAATGCATGGGATCGGACATTCTCATAACCGAACGTACACTTTCGATCTTCGGACACCTTGGAAGGAATATTCCGCAAAGGAAAGATGACATTCCGAAAAAAGTGACTTCTCGAAAAGGCTCTGTGTCCAACAAAGGGGGTGGAGCTCAAAAAGGTCTCGAAACAGGGAGCTCAAGAGCTGAGTTTGCGGACATGTGTAAAGTGACCCGTCGTGGTGAGAAAACCGAAAGTTAACATGAAATTGCCATCTAATTAATTTAGGAGCGACGACATAACGAGTTCTTGAAGTGCTCGAAATTTCATAGCGATGCTTCCAAGTAGATCGAGAAGGAATCGGGCAATATTCCCTCACAGGCCACGGTAAAAGGACGAAACTTCTTTGTGACCACGCATTCGACTTCCTTGCGGAACAGCAGAGCCAATTGAAAGCGTAAGGGAATAGTAAGACAAAGATCAATTATTTGTTTTCATTCCCACGGGTCCGATAAGCGAATCGACTATAGAGGGATGGGACGCTTGCTCGGAATGAGTCAGATCTGAGATGAATTCACCTGCCATTGGGATAATAACTCAAATCCGGAATTACCTTAACAACAAATTAGCTGGATGCCTTGATTGACTTGAAGCCTAACTCTACCTCTTTTATCCTCCACTTTTACGTCTGTCCGACCACTGTGATTTTGTGCTCATCGGCCCCGGAGCCTTTGCATGAGGAGGGACAAGTCGTGCTTGCTACTTTGAGAAGAAGGCGTCGTACTGGCGATTGGTGGATAACATCCGAATTCACATGGATTGTACCTGCTAATGATGTCTCGGAGGGTAATAGGAAGGAACCTGGTTTCGAAGTCTCAAAGGTGGGATATGGTAAGGATGTATAGTATGTGATGGAAAGCACTCTCCAAAACCATACTGAACTCTGTCGGCCCCTCATTTCGAATAGCTTTCCCAAAGTCATAGAAGTGCGCGATTCGGTCAGCCAAAGTTGATCGAACACATATGGCAGTGTGATTTCTGTCTTTCACGCACACACACACACATTTTAGGGTGGCTGAGAGACGGATGTGCCGTCTCGGTCGGAATCGATTCGTCGCTCCACACCTCTTCATTCAAAGCTGCTGGCCTCACTAATCGATTCGGTCGTCCGTCGATCGTTTTGGCGGAACGTCGCCTTCCGATTCAACTGCTCTTGCATCGTGAACAGCCACAGTGAAAAACAGCAAATGCCTCCCGTAGAGGTCGCCAGATCGCAACAATCATGACATCATAACTATATAGTAAAGAGGTGATAACAGTGTAAAACTCTTGAGGATGTGTTACATGGGATCTTTGGATGAAAACCTTCCAAAAAACCAACGGAACGGGTTCCTACACGACTTACGGGTGAGTTTTTTTGGGAGGGGCTGTAGAGCCAAAAAGAAACTACTTCTTAACTTCCCGGATCGGGAGCTAGTATCTCATCGAGATTGTTTTTAGGAATTAGTACTATGCACGGCAGTTCTTAGATTGGGAAAAGTCGCTTCGAAAAGGGAGACTCCTAGCGATATTTAAATAAACTTTCGGGTGTTCCGGAATTTATAGCTTCTTTTTTGACTCTCTTTCTCACCAGCTTCCGGGCGTAATCTGGAATATCCCATAAAAGGCAAGGATAAGCAGAAATGGGCGAATTGCAGTGTCCAAGCGGGGACCAAGAACCGGCCGTATCACTGACGTACCCTAATGTCTCGGGTATTTAATTAGGAATCAAGGAAGCTTTCCAGTCATCGGGTTCTGTGCCCGAAAAAAATCGAGCGCAGCGCTTTTCTATGTTTACCTACATGCGGCCACGCCCATTCCGGTCTGTACCATATACGGTGTCAGCGCATGCATTCGAACGTGGAGGCGGGGCATGCATGCGCCACAATTGGTCAGGGGTATACGGTAATCGTATTGTTACGCTTCAGCAGCTCGACTATATATGGGAATCTCGTCAAAAATATACTCTTTCTATAGAATATTCAATAATCTGTGACGTCATCGCTCACCGTGGTATCCGGTGTATCAGCTACACGTCGCTTTCGTGGATTTGGTGGTGCAGTCCCCGTCTCGAAAGTGAACTCGGTTCGATTTGGTTGCAAGTCAGAACCATCTGAACGTGACTGAGAATAGTCGACATATGATGACGTTGACAACAATTCCCACCATCCAGCATATGGTATAAGAGTCCTAACCAGTATCTATATGTGACTATTACCGTAACAAACCAGTTTCGACTAAAAAAACCCTCAGACCCAATTGGTGCAATGTGTTGTCTGCTAATAGGACTGCCATTTTACTCCCCATAGACAGTTAATAACTTCTGAGTCAGTGGTGAAGGGCCAAATGACTGTAGTCAAAAGTGGAGAAGGGAAGAATTACAGCAGTCTGAGTCACTTAACCACATGATACGAAAAATTTGCGTGGTCGTATACGGTGCCTTCTGAAGAAAATCAATCGATACGCATAAAAAGAGTACAATCATGGTTATCTCAATCCTTACCTCCAGGTGCATTCAAACATGTTTGTATAAGCGCTTTGCCGGTATCCGAAGAGATCATCGGTTGAAGTTTTTTCGTCGCATACGTATACACGTGACCTGTTTCCGATGCGACCAACAGCATAACTTGTGTGCCCGTTAATGTCGATAACTCGTAAGCCTAAATATGTACCGTAACTACCTTAATGTAACTGATCTGTCGCTCACTATAAACTCATACTCGAGCGGGAATCTACCGTATTAAAACAATTGGCTATTAAAAATCAATGCCATCCGTCTGTGGGTAGCTAAAGTGCAGATTAACTTCCGCTGATCTCGAGAATGGGATCAATGGGCAGACCAGTTCTGTCTTGTTCCCTATCCAAAATACGATCCCAGCGGAGGTAACGAGAGACGTCCCACGGACCAAACACTCCCACCTCCTTCTTTTTGGACTCACAAGACCAAATACTGGTAATGCAGGAAAATCATTTTTTAAGAAACCTTCCGAAAAGCGAGGTTCAGGGCTACTCAAGAGAAATCAAGCCAGTTGTAGTGAAAAAGCCTCCAGTGAGGGTTGAGGCTAATTCAAGACTAAGGTCATCAAAGGTGGTTGAAGGAAGTGATCATCATACAATTCAGATTCCAAGACTAAAAGATCTATAACAGGCTTCAAAATATCTTTCTGTACTATCTGTTGCGTCTGCAACTCAGAAACCCGTTGAATAGTATGAAAAAATTTGCTTACTTTTTTCATGATGCCCGTTTTCCTTTTACTAAATGTGGTATACCGTCTGAGTTTGTTTCCAATATATTCCATTTTAATCTTGACACGACCTAAAAACAGCAGTATAATTGTAGTTGAAATCGTTGTAGGAACCCTTGTGGTCACATACCTTTCGTCTTTTTACCATTTGGTAATAGCCCGGGTGTAGACGTTGATTCGGGCATTGCAGGTTGAGCAGATGACGAGCCCTGGAGATGATGCATCAATTGCGCCAACTCGGGTGAGTCTTCCATGATCAACCCTGAAATCTTGAGAATACGGTAGCTAATTAAATACTATTGATATGTACCGAAATATAATAACGAGAAGACAGAGATCGATTAGAGTAAGAGTACTCGCCATGAATGGCCGGCAACTAACCGACCACCTCCACCTTCAAGTCCATATATGAATGATGTGATATGATTTTGATTACAAGTCATTCCTTGTTTGCATAGTAATCAATAAAATCAATATCTCCTTTTTTAATAGGAATATTTTTGAAGAAAACAAGTGTAAACCGGCATAGAAATTGGAAAAACATGGAAAGAAAAATAGCTGAACAGGCTCACAAGTAGTAACCGGTGAAGTTCTCACCCAGAGATGTGCCATAAGCTTTCCCTAGGGGAATTTCAATCCTCCAGAAGGACCTTGGGATTACATAGGGATTGTCTCAGGTTCAAATAGTACCCAGAGCAAAACTTGAAGCTTATGTCAGGCAGGCAGTCCGCCAGTAATGGCCATAAACGGCAAAGTAGTTAGGGTGACCATAGCAGGCACAATGGCCACAGTCCAAAGCGTTGACCGCCGCATCCATCGACTACGGTCATCATTCACTGACTGAGATGATTCACAGATTTGCCATATAGCAATGACATTATGGAAATCGTTCCATCTTTCGCAATTATCAATGGCCTGATCGGAGATTTGTGGCAGTTGTCCGTGAACAGGCTTCTTACTAACGCCTGGGAGAATGGTACTTTGAGCGGGAGTTAGTGAGCTGAGGATTTGCCTAAACTCCTCGTAAGCGATAGATAATGATGTCTTTCGACCATGAAGCTTTTTTTTCAGAAAGTTTCGGTCAAAGACAGAGCCACTGGGTCAATGAAAGGAAGGGTTATTCTTTGCCCTCTGGTTAACTGAAACCAGAATGCAGCTGGAACAATGAATAATAAAAGCTTATGAGAAAAGTAATAACGGCCCAATCGCTGTTGTAAAATCTCAGCAAAATCCTCCTCCTAAAAAACATGGCAAACTTCCTTCTAAACAAATAGGTAGAGCTAGTTGCTAGAGGCCAATGGCCGATAAGGTAACGGGTTTGGGGAAGCCGTAACTTCAAAGGGCCCACTCGTGGCTACCCCCAACCCACTGCCCCACACCACCACAAGGCGAACTCAGGCAAGAGTAAAGCTGTAGAGGTCTAGTTATCCAAACGCCCAACGATTTGTGGTAATCGGCGGGGCAAATGAGGTAAAGGAGTGGGTCGCGATGGGTGATGATGGTGTAGTTGGCGCGGTCGGCGTAAGTCATGGTGATGTGGTTGGTATTGGAATCGGGGTCAATTGCGTTTCCCTAATAATAACACTGAAGAAACGACCAAATATTCGTTCTCTACATAGTTTTTGTAACGTTTCGGGCTGACGCGAGGCTGGGCGCGCCGAGCACCGCATTGGGTGGCTGTGGTCGAACCCGATTGTCGCCGTCGTTGGTGACGGTGGCGACCCATTGGGAATCTGGAACGGGAACACGGTATGTAGAAAGATATGTAACGCTCTCAGCGATAGTTGTAAAAGCTTGTACGAACAACGACAAGGACATGCCGGGCCGGTGTGACCGTATTCCTCAAGCGATGGACTTGAGCGTATACGGGATTCGCTAGTCCTCCTCCCAACTGGGACCTTCATCAACACAGAATAATGGTGCATCTATTCAATCGGAGGAGCTCTTGCTACCAGAATGAAGCTGGACAGGTTCCAGCCTTTTCGTTTTACTCAGAATTGGCTTGCGGTCGAACCAAAGTTAATTGAATGAATGTACATTTTTGTGGTGAAGCCTTCAAAACTACTTATTGGGAGATTATTACTGGAAACGACCTCTTCCAGTGATATCACCCACGAAAGTGGCCTTCATCGGTGAGATTTTGAGATTATTTCCCGAATGGCCTGAAAATTTCAAGATTACTTCTCACATTTCGGTGGAACAAAGCCCCAAATAGTTTTCGCTACAATGAGAATGGCAAAAGGAGAAGCAATCAAAAGAGGAGGTGGTAAAGTAACGACCTCACTCGACCATGTAAGTGATACCTCGTCCTATATGGTTGGGGGCGTCTGTCGGACAGCAAAGGCCTCGATGCCGGCATCGGCAACAGCCGGCGCCATCGCCAAAGGTCCCTTTACCGGGCAGGGCACCTTCTGTGGTGCCGGTGTAATACTACGGCTGCTGGGCGATCCCTTTAAAGGTGTTCACGTCGTGGTACGACGGCTACGATGAGGATGACGATGACCAGATGTCCTCGAAGTTGATGAGATTTCGAATCATTGAACTCCAGTAATAACCATAATTAGCTGGTTCTAGGAAGGACATGTCGGGCGACAAATGGCTGTCTTAGTATGGCTTATTTGGTCGCCACTTGGGTCTTGAGATGTGAAATTCACTTGAAATGTAGATTTGAAAAGTGACGGTTGAAACCAGCAACGGTGGCTAGCTTCAGCCGAGTGAACTAGGTCAGATGACTGATGAAAGCTGTTCAGTAAGTATTTTAATAAGAGTGCAAACAGTGTGGAGTACGAAAACTGGCTTGGAATGTTGTCTTTCGGGTACGATGAAGAAACGAGAAAATTGCCTTTGTGGTCGGATGAACAATGTGGTGGAATGAATCGAAAAACGTCCAATGAATGATGATTATCGATCGATTTCTTGAAGTTAACGTTGAAGATATACGTAGAAAGAAAGCCCAAGTAGACGAGTAGGCAAGAGTCAATGCAGAGAGCCGATTGAGGTCTTGAACAGTCAAGGAGAGCCGAGAGAGGCATGGAGCTGTGGGCGGTCTCGATCTCTACCTCGAAGCGTCAAATAAGCACATGCGAAGCACAACATTACAGCAATAGAGCGAACGGGGGACGGCTGACAGAAAAAGGAACGCCGATGTCCGTTGCGGCAAATGCCCCCCTCAGTCAGCCAGTCATCCAGCTTTCCAACAATGCACGAACGTACTGGATGAGTGGGAGGCTACCCGGGAAGCTTATTCCTTGTATGGGAAATCTACGAAATTGCTCGGAAAATTTCAAGAGCTGCTGATCTGCAACACATCCGCTTATGAGTTTGACATGCTTGACCTAAGTAAGCTGCCAAGTATGAGCTCTACCTGGGGAATGCCAATTGTTGAGTAATCAACAAAAAACTATCGATTCGTTTAACTCTGAGAAAAGCAAGCTGGCTGAGAAAGGTTGTTTTGATGGAAACTTAGCATCCATAACAGAATGGGACTTCAATTAGACCAAATTTTGTTCTAAGAATCCTGGGAGTCTTTTTGGAAATCCTTTGAGAGTCCTTGGAAAGCGACCAAGTGTTACTGGCTGACCAGCGACTCAGATTAAATGCCGAAATCGGCCACACTGATGCCTACCAACGTCAGCTTACTGAGCAGAGAGTTCAATCGAGAGTCTAAGCAAACAAAAAAATACATCTAAGAATTGGTTCATTTAATTTTCTTCTGACCAAGCCCTTTGAATCATCAGAAAAAGAGTATTTGAAAGGGAGTTTCTCGACTAATTCAACCCAGACAACAGTTTTTAAAACGGAAACGATCTCAGCCTTAGAAGTAATGGGATTTCAAGGGAAGAGCATATCACCTCATTAGAGTTTTCCGATAATAATCTCGAAATGAAGCTGTCAGCTGTCATTTTTTTGACCATTTTTGATGTGGTTAACTTTGAAATCGGCACCTTCGACTGTCGTTTTGGAAGGAAAAAAAATTCAAGCGATTATTCCCGAAAGTCTGCGTCACATGTCTTCGTAAATGGTTTAACTAATAACTATTGATGGAATCATTATCGGAGAAGTTCACCCTTTTGGGAAAGATACATTGGTTCCAGACATAACCTTTGTTATTATGAGTATCCTTATAGTTTCAAGGTATGGGGAAGGCAAAACTCAAAATCTAGAGCAATTACAAGTAGTTCCGCAATTATATCCATACAGAGAATTTCACAGACTACTGGCGTGACGTATTCCGAAAATGGGACTAATCAACACGAAGCACTTCACTTTTCCCCTAAGCTTCGTAATTATCCGTAACTCACAAATTAAAATTCGGCTTGTAGGACGATTTAGAAGTAGCTGAACGTCATAGTAATTGAGTAGTTGGAGAGTGAATTGAGTAGTAAAAATAAAACTTTAATAGAGAAAATCTTTTTCAAGGAAGTGCAGTTAAAAATGTTCATTACAATCTTATGAGCTAGTGGTCTACTGTAAATGGGAGACAAAGTGAACCATCCATTCTGGGAGATACCTAGAAAAAGGAAAGTTCTCAAAATGTAGGTTCACTTTCTCAGCCATTCCATGCAGGTTGAACTTTCAAAAAGCCCCCTCATAAAATGGAAATGAAGGTATCGATCGCTAACATGAGATGATAATTATAACTGAGCTTATTACTTCACCCATACAATTCGTTCTACTCATGGGCTTCACTTTTGAGTTTGGTCCGAAACCGAATTTTGTGATTCTTTTATGTTTTTCTAACTCTGGGATGAACTGATGGAACTATCGATGGTCTCTTTTAATTAATCGAAACATACTTCGGCTATGCTTAATTTTATTCAATATGGACTAATTTTTTCACATTACTCTATGTATNGAAAAAGGTTTTTGCAAAGCTCTTATAGCAACGAAGTGCAAATTATCACGTATTATCACTTATTATCACGTGTTACTGAAGTTGCTATTTTGTTCTTGAGAAGTATCCCATGATTACTACAATATTTATGAGAAATTCACTTCATAATCATGTCATATTATCCTAGAATCAGATCTCTTCTTTTCACTTATCATTTAAGTTGTTGTTTTGTTCTTTAGAAGTACTCTACGGTTACTACACAAAATCAATACTTATCACAAATTATCTTAGACTATATTGGAACACCGAGATATTCATCCAATCCTTCTCGAGCAAGTTACGGTTCATCTTGAAAATACTTTTGAAAAACCTTCTCAGAGCGGATTACAAGCGAGTTGTTCATTCTTTTCTGATTAACATACGAAATATCAGAAATAATTAGATGCGAACTGGTGAGTAATTAGGCCTCGTCATACTGATTCCTAATGAAGCATCTGACTGACTACTGAATGTGGCTGGCGGTAAATGTCTTCAAACAGATAATATCAGCACTATAGATAGCATTTTTTTCA